AAGAAATTTTTCCTAATATCCAATCAAAACCTCCCCAGGTGCAACCTTTCCTCTTGTCCTATCACTTGTTACTGGGGAGAAGAGACTGACCCCCACCTTGCTACAACCGCCTTTCAGGTCGTCGTAGAGAGTGATAAGGTCTCCCCTCAGCCTCCCTTTCTCCAGGCTAAACACCCCCAGCTCCCTCAGCCGCTCCCCATCAGACTTCTGCTCCAGACCCTTCACCACCTTCGTTGCCCTTCTCTGGACACGCTCCAGCACCTCAAGGTCTTTCTTGTCGTGAGGGGCCCAGAACTGCACACAGCACTCGAGGTGCGGCCTCAGCAGTGCTGAGTACAGGGGGACGATCACTGCCCTGGTCCTGCTGGCCACCCCATTCCTGATACAGGCCAGGATGCCACTGGCCTTCTTGGCCACCTAGGCACCCTGCCAGCTCATGTTCTGCTGGCTGTTGACCAGCACCCCCAGGTCCTTTTCTGCTGGGCAGCTTTCCAGCTGCTCTTCCCCCAGCCTGTAGCGTTGCGTGGGGTTGTGAGCCAAGTGCAGGACCTAGCACTTGTTCTTGTGGAACCTCATATAGTTGGTCTCAGCCCGTTGATCTGGTCTGTCCAGACCCCTCTAGAGCCTTTCTACCCTCAAGCAAGTCACCGCTATTAATACATAAGTTCAAAGGGATAAAGAAGCAACTAGTCAAAAATTCATCTGCTGTTATTGAAACAAGTAGAAATTTTTCCATTGGTACAGTTGAAACAGAACAAAACCTTGAAAATACTGTGTTAGGTAAGCATTGTCTGGTAGAAATAAGTGTGGCAGGGCAAATAAAATCTCAGTTTTCCGAATATGAAGATTAATGTTTAATTTTCTGTAAATAATTTTTTTGTCAAAGATTGAATCTTCTTAAATTCTGGCCACTGAATAGAAATCCAGATTGCAAAATTTCTGAGTGTGTTTTCTGATGACTGCCAAAGTCAGTCTTGAAAGTACACTGAGATTTGGTTAAATATATTTAGATTACAGAAATTAGTTGATTTTTGTTAAGAGTTCAGGGAGGAAATGATATTTCGATGTTGAAGCCTGCAGAGGTTGCATTTTCTGGGGGTGAGGGGGTGGGTTTTGGTTTTCCTCTTATCAAGAAGAAGAAAGAAATTCACTGAGAGAGATCAGAAACTGTTATCTAATCATTCAACTTGAGAAGCCAGGATTTACGGAAAGCTGACCACCCAGTATCACAAGGCTTGTAGTAATGTTATATGTATTTGGCAGTGCTTCCTGACCATTAGGATCTGACTTTGGTGTATGCTGTCGTATATATATTTTTATATATATATATCCCTTTCCACCATTTTATCTTTTAAGTGGAATGCGGAAAAGATTACTACTCACAAATAACAGTGGCAAACTTAAGGGGAAGTTTCCCATTGAGCTTAGCCAACCTAATGGCTCATTACCTCTGAAAAGTGATCCTGCTCCTCTTGCTTCACTGGTGGTGTAACTCTTCCATCTCTTGTAGCATCAGCTCTGTCTTGCTCACCTCACTTGCCATCAGCCATTAATAAAATCTGTGAAGGTACTAGAGATGCAGACAGTCTCTTTCAAGTAGCTGTTGTTCTTTCTGCCAACATTTAGCGTTTACATCAGTTCATAGGCTTACTGGGCATGGCATGGTACTGCAACCTGGGAAGTGGATCAGACTGAAATTTTTTTTTTTTAAATTTCTTAACACATCTGATGAAGAAGTATGGTTAAAAAATAAAAAAGTGATACTTCAGAGACTGTCATTAAAAAAAAAAGTAATTTTACATCACAGATTACTTTTGGGAAGTGGATCAGACTGAAATTTTTTTTTTTTAAATTTCTTAACACATCTGATGAAGAAGTATGGTTAAAAAATAAAAAAGTGATACTTCAGAGACTGTCATTAAAAAAAAAGTAATTTTACATCACGGATTACTTTAGTATTAGGCTGCATTCCATCTTTTTAATTTTTTTTTTCTCTCTTGTCTAGCATTTTAGTGTCATGTCCACAGCACCGAGGAATATTTTGTTTCTCATCTTTAATACTGTCTCTTAATACTTGGGATTTTTTCTTGCATACTGTAAGAGTGTATGCATGCTTTTTAACATAGCTTTACTCTTTTCCTGCATTGGGAAAGCAAATTCAGGATGAAGGGAGTTAGTAATCTGTTGAGCATTCTGAAATCTCTGTGTGAGGTTGACGAGTAGGGATGCAATGGGAACATGGGGGAAGGGCTAGCTGGGATCTGCGGGGAGAGGCTGGTCCTGTACAGCAGCAGCCAAAATGCTGCTTTGCTGGGTAGTTTCCTAGTTTTTATAGGCGATTATTAGTAGGTCTTTTTGGTTTGTTTTTTTTTCTTTTTTGCCTTGTTCAGTGAGTTAACTGTCAGTTAGGAGGAGGTCTCTTCAGTAGAAGCATTGAGGTATTTTGTTGTTGCTCAAAGTAGCACAGTTATTTTTGAGGATTGATTTATAAGTTAGGAATGCTCATTTTTACTATTGTTCTGGGTTTCTTATGTGTTTGCGCTGGTCTGCCAACTAAAATAAATGTCTGTGTGTGTTTATTGATTGTCATAAAACACTTTCTACACAGCAAACTGGAGAAAGGTTGATAAGTTGGTTAGTTTGAGAGGCCCCATAACATGCTCAACAGTGTTTAGTTCTCCTCTGACTTCCATGTGAATTCCCCACTCCAAGTCTTCAGGTGCCACACGCACCGATGAGTGCAGATTTCAGCAAGCGGTGCTTATCCTGGGGACAGTCCCTGAAGCTGGCACAATGACAGCAAAATGATGGCCACCAAGGAAACGACTGCATTGAAGTACTCTGGGAATTGCGGGTGGCTGTGGAGGAACCACAGATAAAATGATGACAGCTCAGCAGCAGCATCGGTGATACCTTTTACTCCAGGAAGGACTTGAAAGTTGAATTCCTCACAAGCAAGTGGTAATCTTTGCTCATCTTCTACATCGTAAAATGTAGTAGCGTTTACATCTCTTTACTAGAATTGAGGACAACGTGGGGTGGCCACCAGCTGAAGGGTGCCAGGGGGAAGTGTTGGATCAATTGCATGAGACTTCAGTACCCCGTATCTTAGGTGCTTCCTGGAGGAAATCGGTGCGAGTTTGTTTAGCTGCAGTGTGCGTAGTAACTAACGGTGGTCTCAGACAGCCACATGCTACTGGGAGAGGTGAGACCAGGAGATGCCTTTCTTTTTGGTTGGTATGTCTTTCTTTCCTGCTCCCGGCTCAGTTCTCGCATAGTAATAATAAAGTCCTTAAAAGGCCCAATGTGGGATCTGCATTTGGGTCTCATAGCTATTACGGACATAATAAGGGCCAGAATGGTCTCTAACGAAATGGTCACTAGGAAAATCTGTGTGAAGGTAAGCTGTGAAATAGCCAAACCAACCTTTCCTATGTCTCCTAGAGCACATGCCAGGACAGCTAAAGCAGGATCTTCTGTGTTGTGAGAAAAACCCATTCACCACAGACATCTTCAGAGTGACCACCTTGAGACATCCTCATTCCTTCTTGGGGAGTTGCATAACTCAAGATGTTGGTTTTACCTTTTGGGGCAAAGCTGTGGTTTGTTTGCATTGAGTCTCTTGAGATACAGGCTCTGGGCAGACTGGTCACGGCATCCCCAGCGTGGAATGCGTGTGGCCACTCAGGCCACTTGGAGGAGGAGGAGGAGAATTTACTGGCATCCCTGACATTCCAGGGCTTGCCTTTCATCTGCTCATCTGCACCACTCTGCCACAAAAGAGAGAGGGTAATTAATGTTCTGCCACTTGTTCGGGACAAAGCTCGAGGGGCTCCTGCTGCTTGCATCCCTTGTGTGTGCTGTGAATTCCTCTGAGTTCAGGTATATGACGTACCTGCGCAGCCTCAATGAAGCACATGATACAGGTAAGGAATGTTTCAGCTGTTTGGCGCTCAGGTTAAGGACCTGTTTTTTTGTCTCTACAGTATTCAAGAATATGCATTCATGTTATGTGGCCTGTCTGTGCTAGTGGAATATAAATGACAAATGCATTAGATTGTCAATGGTCATTGACATCTCAGCAGCAATATGCTGATTTATGTTACCTAAGGAAAGAACCTAAGATTATTTTTTCTTTTTTTCCCGCTTCTTAGGGGACAGGGGGGAAATGTTTAATCAAACTTGGAAAATTCCCTTGAATGACAGCAGTAAGTCTAATCAGATAATAGTATTCATATCAAAGCTGTCAATGTGGTATCTTACTATTTGTTTAAAAGAGATTGCTTGGCTTGTAAGCAGATGCTTACAAACAATTACAAATTTATGGAGTATTCCTTATTAAATATAGGGGACTTGTTCATTTGTTTTCCGAAAGCAATGATGCTTTATTGTGTTGATTCTTAAGTGCTATGTTCAGTGCATCTGGTTCCTTTATATCCCATTTTAAGAATTATATGTTGATCAAACTGTCTGTGTATGTGTGTACGTATGCACTATGTAGATAACTGACCTAATTATACAGATAAAATAGAAATCCTTCAAAGTGGTTATTTTGGTAATTTCAGGTAGTAAAAATTGGATACATTAGAGTTCCTTAGTCTTATTTAAAGTTCAAACAGTTTATACAAGGTTTTTTAATCAGCTTTTTATTCATTCTAAAAATATAAATAAGTCATAAATACCATCTCTCAAATATTATAAAAGCATAAGTTATACAACATTTTTTCTGGCTTCTGAAAGTATTTTTTTGTTGAATACATATTAAATAAGTTGATATTCTGAATAGTACCATTAGAAATGAAATAAAATACGTCCTTTGTTTAAATTATTTCTAAATATTAAAAATATAAATAGGAAACATTAGAAACAAATAAATATTTTAAATACAATAAATAGATTCCTAGAAGGAAATGAGAATGTATATAAATGCAAATCATTGTTACTATTTCTGGTTCTTAAAACAGAACAACACTGTCATCTGCCACATGACAGATCTGTAACAAAGGATTGTGCCTGAATTAAAACATTCAGACACTGAAACTCCTGGTGTTTTTCAAATAGCGAATGGCCCTCACTGTTTTCTCCATAAATGAAGTAAAGTCTCGGAGGATGAGGTGGGTGGTGATTTTCTCTATCCAGATCTTATCAGTCTTCAGCTTTGCGCGGAGCAGTTCCTGGGTAGCTGAGTCTGGGATGATCACTTCATTGGGATTGATCACCTATGAAAGAGACAATATTGGGGTGCTCCAGTTAAAACATCGTAATCGAGCTTGTCGGAGAGCATCAACTTATATGTATAATATGTTCCCGACCAGCTGTGTATCCACCCTTTCTGTACTGCGGACGACAGACCTCCCCGGGACCTGTGCTTCCCTACAGCCCTGCTTCTGCGGTGGGGTTTGTGATACGTTGATGCCTGCTACAATTACTGCGGAAGAATCAGAAGGTCTCGTCTGATCTATACTGTTGGTTCTGGTTTGAATGCAACGTCTGGCATCGTGGTCCAACACGCTGCAGTGAACAGGTCGATAACACCTCTCCTGCTTTCTGCGGACTGTGTGGTTAACTGATGATTCATCCTAACCTGTACTGGCTGCTACATTCTAAGTTAATTAGATGACACTGGAGTACTCTCACATTTTGTAGTAGATTAGCAGTTTTCAAAGACGTCAAACTTGTTTAGCTGCTTAATTCTTACTTTTCAGGCATTTAGGCATGTGGGAGACTAAGTGTCACCAACTTTCACTGATGTGTGGGATCCCAACTGCAAGGTAAGAGGAGTTACGTACCTAATGCTGCACCTGGTACCCAAATGCCTTTTAAGAACTTGTCCCATGAAGTGGGTAGGTGACTTCTGAAAATGGGAGTTACTCACCCAAATCATGGAGCTGTTTTAGATGATTTGGGGTCTAGAAGTCTAACAGTGATGTATCTGCTTCATCCTGGTTTTAGGATCTCCCCTACCCTTTAACAAGTGACAAAAGCATGCGTGCCTCCTTGTGGAACATCTTTTTTGTGACATTCAGTAAGATACAACTGTCCTTTCTGTCCAGGCTACTTGGAAGTGGATTCTGATCACACACCCAGTTACTGGTATATCCAGCTCCTTGTTGCATGCTGTAAAAGTTTGTATCTGGATATCCAGATATCGTGGTGACAGATTCTCTGTCCTTGCTCTCCTTGCCTTAGATAGCAGATAGACTTCTCTCGTAAAGAAAAATTTCCAAATTCGAGATCAAGGCTCTTCTTTTTCTCAAAAACTCTGTCATTTCTACAAGTACAGGTTTTGCTTTTGATCACTGTGTTTAATTCTGCCTGTTCCAATTACTGCAATCCTACTAATTTGCCAAAAAAGCTAGTCTCCCCCAGTTACGAAACGAACTTTCTGCAAACTAATATATCAAGTTGGAAGCCAGTAGTCAGTTGCTGTCTTATGACAGGACTATTATTCTTAGCTAGCACAGTGTGAAAAAAGCAGTTGAGCTCCCTTTCACTTAAAGAATGATGGACATAAATAAATGTTAGGAAAAGTATGGCACACACACAATGGGCTTTTCAGATGCTGAAAGGAAATAATGCCCTGAAATTTCTGCAGTCCTTACTCACCTGGGTGTTTCTTACTGGGGCAAATAGTTTCCCTGATGACAAAGGAAGTATTCATGTTAAGGGTTATTAACATGAGTAAGAACTGCAGGAATGAAGTTTATTTTTGAAGTGTGATCTTTCAAAGCTCTCCAAAACATAGATGATGACTGTTGGAAATGAGTAGTATTTAGTTTACCGAATCCAAAGAGAATTGGGTATTTGTAAAGAAGAATTTTTTTTTATGATGATTACAAACAAAATGTGTGCTTTTCAATAGGCAGCACCCGTTGTTTAGTCAAGTTACTTAACTTATGTTCTGAATTTAACTGTCTTCCTTGATTTTTAAGCTACTGATATCTCAATGTACCATACAGCTTGGCTTAAAAGTTTGTTTTGGAGAGTTTTAAAGATTGATACTACTGTAAAAATGTACTTGCTTTTACTTATGTGCGTTTTTAAAAAAAGTTACTTATTTATACTTCTCAGGGGGGTGCAACATTAGAAGGCTTGAACTGAACTGCAGTTCCACAATTAGGAACAAGCTCCCTGAGAAATCTTGCGTCGATCAGCCAGGCAGTGTTAGTATATTTGTTCTTAAAACAATGATGCGTTTAATTGTTGGTTTGGAAATGAGAAATAACAACAGAAAGTGGGAAGAAGAGTTGTTTCTTTAAGAAAAGAAAACAAAACCTTGTAACCTGTAAGTTAGTCATAAGGGTAAGTATCTGAGCATAAGGAACCATCACCAGTTTCTGCTGCGAGAAATGAAAGTGGAAAATGTTCAGCTTCACTAGCATCTTATTTCTCTGACTACACATCAGTGCTAAGCCATAACAATTATCGGAGTGAATTTAAAACCAACTCACCATCTGTCTTATGGTGCGTGCCAGGTGCTCTGTACTATAGCACAGTGATTCAACATTTTGCTTTTCACTAGTGAAAGTTTCTTGTACGTATTCAAGGTATGTCTGGAATGTATAAAGCCCACTGGAGATTTTCCTCAAGCATTTGTCCTGGAATGAGAGAATGATGAGAAAGTCACTTACAGCTCAGAAATGCCTCGATTGCAACGGTGTGCATACAGCGCAGGTAAGTGGATGATGCTTAGAGAGCGCGGAGGTCTGTGCCATGCTGAAGCCAGCTGGTGCCAGCACAGATCTTTTAGGTCAGCCTCCACAGTTTTTTGGAGCTGGCAAAAATTGCCCCAGATCTATAGGATTAGACCAGAAAGGAGAGCAGTTCCTTGCCTCATTGAAGCCGACGAGCAGACACCCATCTTCCTCCGTCACCTTGGGGAGGTTGAGGTTGTTCTGGACGAGCATTTCCATGCTGTTCTCACAGACGGTAAACTTCTCGCACATCTAGGGAGAGACACCGAGAGGTTTCATTGCACCTTGCCCAGAGCCAGCTGTGCCCGGGCCGAGAGAGAGAGAGA